CATACCTCTTTGCAGAAACATCGGTGCTCATTTCACGCATCACGAATGTTCTTTAACGTTCACGCAGCACGAATCACGAATACATTAAAAGGAATGATGCGACCCTTAACATTGCATTTCACGTTAAAGTATCTGGAAGCCTGAATTATAGCGATGCAGTGATTACGAAAGGTGTTAGGAAGACCTTTCCTTGATAATTACAGAGCCAATTATAGGTAAGACTAAGTAACCATGGGATATTTTCAACATCTAACTTAGGCCGCGGTTTAAGAAATCATTCGGGACCTCCAAAGATCTCTTCCTTAGTGGGTTATTTTAAGGAGATGATGGCTTTCCTAGTCTACACTCGCATACCCGCTAGCAGAGGCCTCTTTTCCTGCTTTTGTGAACTGAACTGTTCACCGCGATAAACAATGATTAGATAATAGCGTTTGGCAGAATGAATATATGGCATAAAACACGGTTTTGTTTAACAGTAGCTAAACTTGATTGTTCCTCGTAGGAATTGAACCGAAATTTGTGAATTAACGTACCGTATACGTACGTTATATACCCGTACGTTATACCGCTGACTCGAGTCAAAGTGTTTCCATCCGATATCCAGAGACCGAAGCAGTTGGTTGCAAAACCCATTTATTTTTAAACTTCGGCTTTGAACTTTTTTGACATCAAGCGTTTATTTTCTATAGCTTGGCAAATGAACAAGAATTCTTGAAAATTCCTAGCTAAAGATCGCAAACCTTTTATGGTAATTTGGCTAATTAATATCCGATTGCAATCGATCTTCATTCGATGATGGCAGTCTGATTCGATGGTGATATCTTTGTTTTCTTCAACCCGATTACGTAAATCAGTGAGTTTGGAAATTATTTTTACGTTCACTTAAAAGGAGGAATCGAACTGGCAAAAAAAAAAAGGGAGTGTTGCAAATGGGACTGATTATTATTAAAGTGTTTTGTGTGGGTTTCCTGTTTTTTTTTTTATACTTGTAGATAGCTCCTGCTTAAAGGTTTTCGAGGCATTCGCCGGTTTTAATCGGAATAATCTCGCAAATGGTCCAAAGTTTTTCTAAACATTTTTGTGACGCCTTTTCAGTATTCTAATCTGACCGATTATGGGAAACAACCAATCATAGAGCGCATATATTCCATGAGTACACTATATACACTGCATATGCAAGCGGCAACATGGAATCTATTTGCAAAATGGTTAGGAAAACTTGCTTGCAGTCCTGCCGAGGCCCATCAAGCTGTAGGCTTCATTAAACTTTGATCTAAGACTCGGAGTACGTGTTACGAGGGTGTTTTTCAAGTGTGTTGTTTTTAGAAGGTGAAAGGATATTTCATGATCGATGAGAGTCAGTTCAGTTGAAAAGCACTCTCCAAATTGTGAAGGATGCAGATGCCAAGGGTTTTATTTATACTCTTTTATTCCACTTTTAGAACTGAAAACGTTTTCATGAAAACTTGTTATCTATTGCTTTGTTTTAAACCCTTAGAGGAAACGAAAAACATGAAAATGGACTGATCCGGTTTCTGCGATCTTTTAAGATAAGGAACGTAAAACATTTTTATACATACTATAACTAAGTCACGCACATGCATGGTTTTCTCCGACAAAGAGTCTCCAAGGAGAATAGAAGCAATCTTGAAAGCATCGATTGCATTGAGGCGTCGCGCCGACCAATGTTTGTTTGCTTCCACACTCTTAGATTGTTTCTTTCTAGTCACAAGAATAAGATAAGGGAAACAGAACTTGAAGAAAAGTTTACTGATACATTAAATGTCATCGAAGTGGTCAGTGTTGTTGAGACGTATCAAAGTGACGAAAACAACTTAACGTATAAACGTTAACTGTACTGGAACAAACTTCGCTTTGCAGTAGTGATTACAGGTAACTCAATACGGATTACACTGTAAGAGACTAATATTCGGCACGGAAAACAGTTCAGTACCGTATATTGGTGTGTGGGAAGTTTCCAATTTTTGAACCGGGTGGAAAATCTGTCGGTCTGGACAAAAGACAATGAACTAGACAATAACGTTTTTTGATTAAACTTTAGAGACGTTATAAAAGGTCTCAAAAGATACTGAACAAGGGTTTTGCTTCGATATATCAGGACGACTCTGTTAAAAACTTAACCTTTTTTCCCTGTTTTTGAACAAAAGTGATTACCGGTCATTCGATCCGGATTAAAAGTCCAACAACGCACGGAAGCCGAAAGAGAAAGTATAACCGTAAAATTATGTGGAAAGTTTTTTTTTTATCAGGAGGGTTTGACTTTATCATGTCAATTTTTTTTTTAGAAAATAACCCATAGTCGGTAAGTACTTTAACATGCACTAACAGGCATACGGAGATGCACCACTAGGAAAAAAAAAAAGAAAAAAGCTGTTCTACTCGAGGTCAGAACAAAGGTTAATGAACGTAATAACTATTTTCTCTAAACCATCCCAGATAAAAAAGCAAAAATCGCTGCCAGATTTCACAGTTTGTCAGCTTTTACTGCACTGCTCACGTTGTTAAAAAAATATGTTTATTGCCGTGGACAAAGAGAAACGCTTTCCTTGTCTCCAGCTCGAAACAAGTGCACCGATAAGGAGTACACATGTACGCTTCAAGGAGTAAGTCTGGGACCAAACACAGATTTTGCTGCGCCCGGGTTTAATGCTCAATTCTAGTCTTCTAAGAACATGTCTGACGTATACCGGGTCAACTACATAGACAAGACAAGTATAACTAGTTGTGATGTTGTCTCGGCCGTTTTTTCTACCGGGGTCCTTTTTGTGGTCTTTTGCCTTGACACACAAGCCAAACCGGAAATCAGACGGAACAAAAATCAAAAGAAAACGGAGAAGAGGGGTTCACACGCGGTATGATATCTTGCTCGACATTTGTAATATTTTAAAACTGTCGGCGAACCGACCGCCCTGGAGATAAATAAAGAGTACAAATTCGGTGGACAACTTTTTGTATAACGGTGTTTCATGACCATGTCGTTGAAAAATCAAAGACCCCGGCGGAACTAATGGCCATTATCGAAAAATTCATGCCAGTTCATATATTTTAAGATCTAATTTTAGTATGGTATCCAAGCCGTTTTGATTTTGACAGATAACACGTCCACAGCTTAACGCACTCTTAATCTGTAGCTTAAAATAATAAACACGCAGAAGTCTCTGTCCTTCAGCATAAAATATGGCCATATGTTTTGGCTTGACTGCTCCCAACTTAATTTATAATCAGTGACGAGTCAGTAACATCACAAGTGTTTTATGTACGAAGTGAAAGATGGGACAGCTAGGAAAAGTGAAGAATATATACACAAAGCAAACTGTAAGTGAAAACATTAATTTGTGATGAACGACTTATTAAACGTCATTATGAAACTTATTATGTAAGATACAAAGGCCACTGATCGATCTCTACTGATGATTTGAACCGAAAAAAAAAGAAAGAAAAAAAGCCTTCCACATGACATTCACCGTTTATTCTTTTCAACACATGAAAGCTGTTTCATGGCGAAAAGCCTCCATTCAATTTTTCCAAAACTCCTAGGGCGTTCAGTTAATCTCACCGCCCCTTTTATGCCGGCCTCTTGATTACACCCGCCGAATGAAAGGAAGATCTACATGCTATCAGTTTCAACTGGCTGCTTTGCATAAGTGATAACCAAGTCAGTATTATATATTTTCCGTGGAATTCAGTGTATTTTAACAAAGTCTGTTAGCAGTATCCAGTCAGACCTGCTAAGGCTACAAGCCTCAAGTGTTATTTTTACAATTTTACTCTGGATCAGCGTCAGTACTACGAGTATACGTGTCAAAGGGGTGTGTTTGAATTGTGATGTTCATTTGATGTTGTTTTCGCATGGTCAAAGTAACATTTCACGACCTAACTTTCTTCAAATGAAATGTGTAAAGTGAAGCATTTTATTTCTGTTCACTCGTAAAAAGTCTGAGTTTTGAGGACTGGGCAACTTTCTTTCAAGGCAAACAATTAAACAAACGTAAATAAGATGAATGTTGCTGTAATATGAGGGTCATTCCACGAGGTAAATAACTCTTGTCTATCTCTTGAGTCAAGGCATACTTCTATGACTAATGACGCAGACAAAAATGGCTAATAATTTAATGCCATTATAAAGACAAAATTCTACTGATTCTTTCAACATTGGTTTTTGTATGAGCTCATTATTTAGTTATTTTATTCCTTACTTTTTACCTTACATTCAAGCATTCGCGCGCTTTTCATAATTCGTTAAAAGCTGCAGTCTAGTATCCGCACGTTTATCAATTTTTTTAAAGATGTTATCTATCTTGTATCCGGGTTGTATCCAATCCAACAACAAAAAGAGGCTGAAGTGCTGATTGTACATTAATGAACGGTCGATCGAGTTCAAACCTTTGGGCCACGACTTCCTCTTTTGACTACTTGGCGTGCAAGAGTCCACGCCTATTTCATTTGAAAAGACTGAATTTTGTTGTAGATACTATGCTTCATTCGGACCTATTCACATCGTGTTTTCATTTAAAATGTGTATCTACTTTTCGTGCCGAAACTGGTTCTGCCCGCTAGGCTTTGTCCTTTAACGGCTTCCTTGACATCTCGGCGGAAACCCGCGCGCAGAAACGCACGTACTAAACAGTTACCTTTAGTTATCTTTCCTTGCTTTCGTTTGATTTCTCGAATTGCTGAATGTTCAACTGTTTTCCTTTTGATTTTGCGCAAGCAGACGCTTCGGTTATTACATGTAGCACCTTGTTAGATCATTATTTACTAATATCAAGAGTTAATGGGTTTTGCCTTTCGCCGTGTGTGGTTTACTGTTTTCAAGGATCTCTTATCATTCTCCATGTTGCCGCGATGTCTAGGAAAGCTGCACTGACCATCATCGGCAAAACAACAAGAAGAATAACCACTGTATTTTACCTCAGAGACCACAAAAAGTAGTCACATTTTAAAAAGATGAATAACATGGGTACTACATAACCTTATGGGGAAAGCATTTGTCGGGCGACTGGTACGAATGTCCTCACACAGTTGTTTGCCTCGTCTTATCCCTCTTCTTAACTTGGGCTGACACGTACCCATTCTTAGGATTTTCGACGGTAGTCGCAGCCAGAGGATCATGGGAAAGCTTAAAAAACACAAGGGCACAAGGGAAGGCTCCTGTTTTTTGTCCTTCCCATGACCCCTTGCTACCAGCGTTGTACCTTGCTCTTACACCATTATAAACGTCTGAACAACATGAGAGGTACAGTGGAACCTCGATTTACCGAACCTTTATATAACGAAGTCCACCGTATAACGAACGATTTTCTCTACCCCAGTAATAGTAAAATATATGAAAAAGGACCTCGATATAACGAAACCTTGTTATAGCGATCATACTTTGCCAGTCCCTTGGCCCTTCGTTATTTCGAGGTTCCACTGTATATTTTCGACCCGGCGCTTATTCGGGGCCCTGGGTTTAATCAAGAAAATGCGGTACAGTAAAAACCCGCGAGTAAGAAACTGAAAATTAAGAACCTGTTAGCCTAAAATTTGCCATTTATACCCCCTATAAACAAGAACCTCTTTAGCCTAGAACATGAAAAACTGGTTCTTATTTTTTAAAATCATATTACTGAAATGCAGCTGTAAAGCTGTGCAAGAATCCTGTTTGGAGAAATGGCATTGCTGTGCAAATAAGTGCGAATTTATTGATGTAATAAAAAATAAAGTGCAAGAGGTTAATATTGTTGTATTGTAGCAATAAATCAGGATATTATGCAGTCTATTTAAGAACCTAAATAGCCTCAAATTGTAAATATATAAAACTGTTCTAGTGAGACCTTAAACTGCTGTTTAAAAAGTAAAAACTAAAATCCAAGCTTTCGCCGATCAACGGCTTCATCGGCGTTGATCGGCGAAAGCTTGGATTTTAGTTTTTACCTTTAAACAGCAGTTTAAGGCCTCACTAGAACAGTTTTATGTATTTTTAATTATGCTGCTGAAGGACAACATGAATAGATTATATTCCTAAAATTGTGTTAAATACCATTTAAGTAAGAACCTGTTTAGGCTAGCTCCAGAAATTGTAGGTTGTTACTCACGGGTTTTTACTGTATGATGAACTGGTAGGTAGGTAGGTAGGTAGATTTTTTATTTAAAACTCGGTAAAATCTTCAGTAATAATAGAGTAAAAATCTAATCACAATTAATTAGACTAAAAACTATCGACATACTGTTTTACAAGACTGCCGAGTGAGAGTCCGACGACTCAAATACATGTTTGATTTGCTCTTTAAATTTCCTGACTGATTTAGTTTCTCTCACATTTTCGGGTAAAGAGTTCCACAACAAAGCACCGCTGTAACTGAAACTTCGTTTCAAGTAGTTAGTACGCGGCCTGGGCAACGTCAATTTATGAAAGGAATTGCGCAAATCATAGTCTGTGCTTCGTTCGTGAAATAGGTTCTGCAAGTACACTGGAGCTTGTTCATTTAGAGATTTAAACATCATTATTGCTTTATGCTTCTTTCTCCTTATAACTAATTTGTCCCATTTGAGTATATCAAGAAGCAGGCTCGAGCTAGTCCCATAGTTGGCCTTTAAAATTACTCTAGCTGCACGGTTCTGTAACTTTTGTAATTTGTCACTCAGTTGATCACTTAAGCCATCCCAAACAAGGCTACAGTAATCAAAGTGAGGTTGAATTAAGGAGTTATAGACTAGTACCGCAGTAGATTGGGAGATAAGGGGCCTAATACGTCTAAGGGCACCTATAGCCGAAGTTACCTTCTTACACAATTCGTTAACATGATTAGACCAGGAAAGCCGATTGTCAATAATGAGACCTAATGATTTTGCGTGATCAACATTGCTGATAACTTGGTCTTCTAGTTTGATGTTTATTTCGTTATGGCTTTCCGCGAGAAGCTTCTGGCGAGAGCCAATAACCATAAACTCGGTTTTCGCAACATTAAGACTAAGCTTATTGGCTTTTAGCCAACAGTGAAGGTTCAGTAGTTCTAAGTTAGTCTCTTGTTCAAGGTCAGCTAGAGAGGAACCAGAAATGGTAATAGTTGTATCATCTGCGAACATTTTATTATTTTTTTCATTATAATGTTAAACGGCACAAGGTGCATGTTATGCAATGGATAAATTCGGAGGAGATGTTTGTAAAATCTGTCGGATATTTTTATTTTTCGTTTAACATTATAATGAAAAAAATAATAATTAATAATAAAAAATAAAAAATTTGATTGAAAAACGCAAATTGTAGGAGCAAAGGCAGAAAATTCGATCTCAAAGCTGCTTTAAACGGAAAACATTTAATAAAAGACTCAGTTTTATAGACAAATGGTCTCTAAGCAACACAAGAGAGAATAATAAATAGATAAATAAATTATTCTCTCTTGGTAACAAAGGCATTAATTTTTCTCCTTCCTATTGTTCAAACCAGGATTATCAAGGCAAAGATCAACAAGCCCTTAAACAAAGAGAGATTGAAATGCTTGAAATGCTTCGTATTACAGCTAGCTACTGCTGACCTGAGTAAAAATTTGATCAGCATATAAAATTCTATTATTTACTGAAAATTGCTTCTACTCAGTTTATTGACTATACAGCTAGCTTCGATACAAGTCTGTCTATTATCTTATCAATGCATTATGTACAGCCGGATTAGAAGGTTCGTTAATTGTTTTATAATGTAAGCCTTCGCTAATTAACAAAATCTTTTCAAGGAAGATTAAGTGTGTGAACTGTTTTTTTTGTGACCAATTCTCAAGAGTATAAGAGATCAGTATCTCTGCATTAGATATAAATCAATATTTTCATAAATTATACATTGTCCTTGATCCAACTGTATTTTTTCTTGTAGGTGAAAACAAACATTTCATGGCTGGGATTTGAGGTTTAAAGCAAGATTTTACAATTTTTAAAAGAAATGAGCAATAATTCAACCTTGGTTTTGCCGCCTAGTACATCTTCGTCAAGCGTTGCTTCGACTTTGCCGCACGACGGGATAGAAATAATTGTTTCTACTGTGGTTTACGTACTGTTAGCGTTGCTAATAATTCTGGGCAACATGCTCGTTATCATAGCCGTCAGCTCATACCAAAGACTGAGAACTATCAACAACACATTCCTAGTTGGACTGGCCGTATCTGACCTCTTAGTTGGCTTGATGTCGATCCCATTATGGATTTATTTCTCGTACTGCCAGCAGTATCGAACCTGCGGATATAGCATAGAGGTGCTGACGTTCTATTCCACGGTAGACATATTCACAGGCTCTGCTTCGGTTTTGCAACTCACAGCTATCAGCATTGAACGCTATTTGGCCATTACTCGCCCTCTCAACCACCGCTCCTATTCTATGTGGATCTATTACGCCATGATAACAGCTGCGTGGGTCTTTGCATTCATTATAGCTGGTCTGTATCCCGTGCAGCATAAAAAGTGGCAGAAACCCTACAGTGTAATTCTTGTCACAACGTGCTTTGTCATCCCCGCTTTGGTGATACTGACCGTCTATGCGATCATCTTCCAGACAGCGAGAGGAACTCAGCGGGCAAGGGTCCATCCAGAAGAAGCAGCCAATTGCAACAGACGTGCTCAAAATGAGACAAAGATAGCAACAACTATTGCTGTCATTACAGGATTGTTCATCATTGCATGGCTCCCTTTCTTCGTTGTCAATTTAGTTGCGGAGTTTTGTCTACCCTGCTTGCCTCCTTACCCTGATATTCTAAGACTGATTCGATTTGTAAAGTGGATGCACTATTCAAACAGTATGGTAAACCCGCTGGTTTACGCTTATCGAAATACAGAAATGCGAAAGACCTTTAAAAAGATTCTACTGTCTTGCTTTTGTTGTAATCGAAGTGGCTATAACAGTTTTGTTACGTCGGTGAGGAGGGGAAGACAAAGTCGACATGTAATAAATCTCCCCAAACCTTCAAGGAACCGCCACAGACGAGTAAACAATGATAGTATTAGGTCCCAAAAAAGTTCATCTAAGTCGGAGAAAGGGTTGAAATACAGCCACGATTCTCTTCGAAACGGTCCTTTTTTGGTCACACCTCAGCCACGGGGACATATGTCACTTTAACCATCTTGCTTCACACCAGAGTAGTTGAATTAAAATAAATTTAAAAGGTCTAAATTTCGTTTTGTACAAAGACTAGTCCTAAAAACGTGCCAATGAAAGTACTATAAGAATCAGTGTACCGCTTAATTCTTTCATTTGGTAGGTGACTCAATACCAAGCTTACAGACTTAAATACTTAAAAGGCTAGAACAATGTTGTGCAAGAACAACTCTGTTTAATACGTGACAAGCGTTATTAGTAATAAAGTACACAAGGTTTCTTTAAAATAAGCATAATACGCATACGATAAGGGATACCGTAAGGGGATTTTTTTTCTAATCCCAACGGTTTCCGCTAGCACTAACAGGTATTATACTACTACATGAAAAATTTCTGCAATATGATTGGCTTAGAGCAGTGGTATTTCAGGTTAAGTTGAAATACCTACATGTGAAAATTACAAAACTATTGCGGGTAGTAGTATAAACAAATAATAGCATGATTTGTACGTGATATTTGGCATTTCAAAATTGTCTCAAATTTCAAAATATCACTAGTGGTATTTATGCCAAATATCACTACAAATCATGCTATTACCTATACCAATTCTTTACAAGGAAATCTACAGCGAGTATTGGTTTTTACGAAATTTTCAGTAACAAAATGACTCAGCTCTAAAGTTAGTCTAACTTTTTCAAATTCAACCAAGACGACATGAACACCAGGCTCTTGAACTGCCCAGCCTTATTGCGTGACTAAAACACAGTGAAAATTGCCAATAGCAGTCCATAAAATTTCGTGTGCGATTTTCTGACCGTATGGGAGCCTTAGGGCCGCATTTTTACCCTTCCTCAGCTCAAGAGAACAAGGAGGGAAGAACTAGAAGTAGTGGATGGTAGATCCAGCCTTGTCTGACTAGCTTCACAGCCAAATTTTCATCTGTAGACTCTTTCTGGGAATTTGATTAGAGTAAAGTGCAAAGTCGCGCCTTAGATGACGGCTGCTCTGGTGAGTTGAGCCGAAAATAGATAAGAGTTTCACTACAATGTCAACTCGTGAGCCGTCGCCTATTTATAGTTTTTTATGCCCTTAAAAGTGGTTTCATTGTCTATACGCTTATCCTGGTGCAATGCTAAAGCCACAAACGACCTTCAAGTAATTAAGAGAGATTTGGGATGAGAATAAAGGGCTTGATTTTCTCGCCCTGGCTGTTTGTTTACCGCCTGTTTGAGGGTAAAATGTTATTCAGCCGTGGCCATGTTGTGAGTTTCTACGAGGCGGGAAAAATATCCATCGCTGTTCTGAAGCAAAGTTTCGGGTTTGTCAAACTCCACCATCCGTCCCTGATCCATAACCAATACTTTATCATAGTCCATGATGGTGTTCAAGCGATGGGCGATGGTTATTACGGTAGAATCTTTAAGTCTGTTACGTATAACTTCTTGAATCAGACGGTCTGTTTTGTAATCCACATTGGCAGTGGCCTCGTCCAGTATTATAATCTTGCTTTTCTGCAACAGTGCACGTGCTAAACAGACCAGTTGGCGCTCACCCACACTGAAGTTGCTCCCTGACTCCCTCAACTTGTAACCTAGCTGCTCAGGTAATTTCTGAACCAGAGTATCTAACTGAACTTCTTCCAAAGCACTCCAGAGATCGTGATCCTTGTACAAAGAGAACGGATCTAGGTTTCTTCTGAGGCTTCCGCTGAAGAGGACAGGATCCTGCGTTATTACGGCCATAGACCTTCGAGCCGCCTGTAGATTGAGATCTCTGATGTTAACACCATCTATGATTACCTGTATTGATAGAAACATTTACGTGAGTTAGAACTGAGGGTGTTCATAAGGCTTCTACTCAAAAGCCTTTCTTAAATCGCGATCAATGAGTCTTTCCCTCTCACCCTTCAAATCCCGAAAGTGGTAAAAATCTGCTCAAAAACAAATAGCACCATAGGAAAGTACCGCCAGAGATGCTTAATTCGAATGGTGACACCACAGGAGTTTGTCCACAAAATCAATAGTAAGAACCACCTTACGGGATTCTATCAGTCAATCTGCCTTTGAAAGGGTTAAAGTCCCTGAGAGTTTGAGGCTGACCTAACATACATTTTGCTGGAAAAACGTCTATCACACTCCAGCACGGACTCAGAAATAAGTCTGTTGACAGGGCACTTGGGTGGGGACAGGCGACTAGTTCCTGCAGAGAACCTTACTGGAGGTGTCAATTGAGAAAGAATAATCAAGAATAAAATTAACCGCCACCCGGTCAGCTCAGTTGGTAGGCTAGTGCTAAGCGGAAGATCTCCGCCCAAACCCCAGCCGCACCACAAACCATGAATTAAAAAACTGCCCAAAGTCAACTGGTGGTGATTGAGACCTTGACTCAGTTCCGATGACCCTTGAGCCTTTAGCCTCGTCTTCTTTATCCTTCCTTGTCAATTAGAAGGCGAAAGCGTTAAAGAACCGAGGTTTCTGTTCGAAAAGAGTTGGTGACGTAGATGCTGGTGTCGTGGCCTTTCTTCTCAAAGGTTATTTGGAGAAAATTGGCCCAGGTTGTTGTGGGGTCCCCGCCATTCTTAGAGAGGTCAATAAAACAAAATAAGCTATACTCACACTTCCTTCAGGCTCTGGCATACGAAATAAGGCAGCCAGCAAAGACGATTTTCCTGCACCCGTGCGACCTACTATACCAACTTTCTCCTTAGCAGCAATGTCAACGTTTATGTTTTTCAGAGTTCTTGGAGCCCCTTCAAGATATGTTAATGACAAGTCACCTAATGTCAAAGAGCCTGCTTTTGGCCATTGTTTTGGAGGCTGGGTGTCTGTATGGTACCCCGGCTCTGGATCGATTTTAGTGTAGGTGAATACTCTTTCCACTGAGGTCATGTGATTTTCTGTCTCTGATGCCACACTGATGCCATATTGCGAGGCTTCCAAAGTATCCAATGCATAAGTCAGGGACATGCCTGCTAACGCTGAAAGGGTAAAGTTTATAATCTTTAGACATCAGTTCTTTCGCAACAAAAATGGCACATGCTTGCTTCCAAACTAAGTCCGTGATCATCACACGCACCGCCGCAAAGCTGTCAGAGGGTATTACCACCTAAGGGGCCGACCATTTAACTCTTGAGGGGGCGGGGGGGTGGGTGATTTTGAAAAAAAATTTCCTGCAAGCGCTTGTCGGAAGAAAAAAATTGCATGCAGCACAAATGTAATAAAGAGCTTAAGGGAAAAAAAGGGAAAAAAATATCCTGCCCACCATGATGCTAGAAAAAAAAAACTCTTGATGACCAGAAATCACCCACCCCCACCCTCAAGAGTTAAATGGTCGGCCCCTTTACCCTAGGAAACGTTTTGTGTTCTCGAGAGGTTAAACACTTTCATGAGTCGCAGTGCCTTAGCTCCCACCAGTTTCCTGTAGGTAAAGTGATCGGGCATCTAGGCTTGTAACCAGAAGGTCATAGGTTCGAATCCTTAAGGGGAAACGTCTTACATGTCAATAAAACACCTACCTAGGCTTTGTGTTGCAAGTAAAGCTCCAGCTGACACGGAGGTTACTAGAAAGATACTTAGTAGGTCTCCTCGTAAACCTAGCCATTGTGTTGCTGCGTTCCTCATTATCATGGCTGATGTGTTTTTGTCCTGGTACCTGCAAAACGTCGTAGTAATAAGGTCTGTACTGATTTGTTGAAGAATCATTTACATTTCTTTCAGTCCCCTCAGTCAAGGACTTTACCAGATTGTTTGTGTAATCAAGTGCTGCCTTGCAGCTTACGATCAATGGAATAGTGAGTTAATATATAGATTTAGCCAGAGCTAAAAGCGAAGCTCTGGTTAATAATACTTGAAAACAAAAAAAAATTAAATCGTGTAATGCTAAACGGGGAGGGCAATGAAAATGGCATCAAGATCAATAGATCTAATTAGCAAAAAAACAAATTGCACGTGCAGCCCACTTTTTTTCTAATTAGCAAAAAAACAAATTTGCACGTGCAGCACGCTTTTTGTCTTTCTTTGCCGTTGTTTTGCATAACTACAACGCTGTTTTGTAGGACTAAAACGTCAAACTTCCTTGTTACCCATTATTTTTATGGAGGAATTGTCTCCTGTGCGGTTCATGTTCGCTTATATTTTTCACTGCCGCACATTTTCACTTTGCTGGCCGCTAGCATTTCTCATTGTCTCACAGCCGCTTTGAATTTTCATGTTTTTCTTCCTACAAAATTCGTCTCTTTTGTTTTCAATCACTCGCTCTAGCTCTTTCTCTGTTATCCACGTGAGTGTAAACATCAAAAATAACGTCGCAAAAGTGACACGACGTTGTTGTTGTTTTTTCTTTCTAAAAGTACGGGCGGCCATGCGATTTCTTTCCGTTGCATTTGGGTTGCCATACCTGTTGATTGAATTATTTGACATTGGTATACCTGTGGTGCAGACGGACGGACGGTCGGTGTACGGTCACGTGATTACCAAATTTTCTCGGATGGGTAGTTTACCACATTTTTTTACCCATGGTGCTCCGCTGCGCGCTGCGCGCGCGAGAGCTCCGCTTTAAATGGACCTGTAGCTAGATGCAACTGTAGCTATATAAATGTATGAGGCTTGATAAGCATATCTTTTCGTACTACAAAAACAGAGAGTCCCGAACTCATGCAAAAGTCATTTAATAAACAACAACTAAACGTTCGAGATCCGACAAACCAGAGAACGACGGGGAAAAAAAGGTGAAGCAAAGGACAATGTTTCCAAGAAAATTTCCCTTTTGAACATTTTTAAAATCTTTCACACAAAACTTAGAACGGGCAGACAGAAAGAAACACAGACGAATGAATTTTCGAAGTTTCTACTAACTTGTAAAATTGTTGAAGAAAATCACTTTCCATCCCTGATGAGCGAATCACCTCCATTCCTGCCACGGTATCAGCAATAAGGGAGTAAAGTGGACTGCATGATATTGATTCTAGCCTCCTGATTTCCCGAGAGGAATTCAAGTAGTATTTTGCAAGATACATGAACAAGAGCGTCAACGGGGCACAAGTAATTAACAACCACACATTAACGACTGCTGAAAGAATTGTGGCGCTAAAGAAATATAGACACAGCTGGACTGCGAAAAGAAACTGAGATGGAAGAGAGTCATCCATATTACCGATGTCTTTAGAGAAACGATTTAAGATGCGACCAACTGGATTTGTGTCAAAGAACAGGACAGGTGCCTGGATAACTGCTTTGGTCATCCGCTCGTGGAGATTTTCTGACGCTTTTAAAGTGGCAAGGTAAAAGCAAAAAGAGGATGCAAGTGTAAGAAGCAAAGAAAACATGACAATGGATCCATATATCAGAAGTGTGACGTAGTTCTTCTGTTCTTGATAAGACATTTCCGTCATTAATGAAAGCCACCAATAGGGCGCGATCCACGCAACTGCAAGAAAAAATCTTTATCAATAAATCTCAAATACCAGGCTTCAGTCAAATTAATTTATGTCGACAGAAACTAAACACGAGTAAATTTTCCTCCCGGCCGAAGAGCAGAAGAGGATCTTTTGGGAATATCCCTGAATGGAAGTGAGCGAATACTAAGTACAATTAACTCATGGCTACGATGGACACCACTAGGGAAAGCAACAAATTTCTCCAAACTTCTTTAAAAAATTGCTCCCATAAGCTGCCTAAAGATGCTGGAACGTATTTTTCAACATGTGATTTGTTAAAAAAGTTGGTCCAAAGTTAACCGTTTGTGTGATAGAAAACAAGGCAAAAATATGCCTTTATTTTAGTTTTTTTTCTATGTGGGAGATCAAAAAGCACTAACAAAATACCTTTATGATACTGTACAAACATGAACAGGTCTATTAACTTCAGAAAAGAGGTTCTCTCACCGATCATTCACAGATGGATGATGAATTATCGCCTACCTCTGCCAATTTGAAACGTTGCAGTTGTGTGATTGTTGATCACGAAAATTATAGCCAGATTAGTCTCTTGTAACCGTATGAAAGCTTTTAAAACATTTATAATACATCCGTAAAATTTTCAGAAAAGGAGAAAGCTCCAAAAGCGGTCCCGCGGTAAAAAAGTTACTCCAAAGGAAAAAAAGCTTCCTTTGCCGTCACGCAACTTCTGGCCATTTAAGCCTGGATACCGTCAGAACCTTTACTGAGTGTGCATCGTAAAGAGGTTTCCGCCTAAAAGAAGGTCTGAGAAAAGTATCAAAGAACGGCATTGGCTGCCTCAAGGTGTCCTTTTAACTGTACCCGCCTATTTTTTTTTAACTTTGACAGCTGAACGTTGATTTTGATTTACTAACCTTGTACAATAGCGAAAAACACAGCAAGGGCCACAATCAAAGTAACTGGAAGGGCAGCCCTAAAGTACTTCCAATACAACTGCCACTTGACAGTTCCCACCATTCTGTCTTCTTCCTCTTCTGCCAGATCTACTCTTTCCTGAAATTCGTCAACAGAACTTGCTTTCCTGACCCTTTTGTCTTCACCGAGACCTGTAATTGTACTATTTTCACCTTCTTCTTGTTTTCCTTGAGATACCATAAAATCATAACCCAGCTTCTTCTGATCGATTTGAGAGTAGCTACCTTGGTACTGAACGGAACCATTTTGAAGGATAACAACGTGTTCTGCATGTTGGAGAAATTGCAGCTGATGAGTGACCAGAATACGAACTCGCCCAGCTAAGAACTCTTTGATGCATCTATCAAACAAATGTTTGCCGACTTTAGCATCCACTGCACTGAGTGGATCATCCAACAAATAAATGTCTGCGTCTGAGTAAAGAGCACGTGCCAGACTCACTCGTGCACGCTGACCGCCACTTAAGATTACACCACGTTGTCCAATCTCAGTTAGATCGCCTTTCGGGAAGCTTGATAGATCTTTAGCCAGGTCACAGACTTCCACAATTTTGAAGTACTTTTCTTCGACGAACGGCATACCAAAGACTATATTCTCTCTCACGGTACCAGAATACACCCAAGGTGTCTGGGAGACGTAAGCCATTTTGCCAATACAAGAACTCTGACCAGATGATATTGGAAGTTCTTCTAAAATGGTCATCAATAAAGACGTTTTGCCACTCCCAACTGGTCCAGTTATTCCAACAAGTTGCCCACTGGTAGCGTGCAATGAAACGTTTTGTAATGCTGGACGATCTGACGAATCGTTCCATACGCTGGAAACGTTTTCAAGAACAACTTGTGGCTGAGCAATTTCTGATGTTTCTTCAAGTTTCTGATCACTTTTGACGGCAATTTGCCCAGGCTTAAAGTCCTCTGCCCTTTTGCATTGTGATTTGCGATCGCTTCCTAAAAGTGTTTTCTTTTCAAGTAACGGCTGTATTCTATTCCAAGCAGTTCTCGCGTCTGCGAGACGGTGTAAACATTCTCCAAGATAGACAGTTACGAAGAATTTAATGTTTGCTAAGACAGAAAGCAACGTGAACACTTTGAAAGATGTCAAGAAGTGTCCAGTCAGAAGCAGTACCACGACTGAGATGAAACCAGTAACAGCATGGCCAGTAAAGAACAAGGCGTAGACACTTGAGAGGAAGAATCCTCGAATCCGAATGAGAGAAATCTCTTTCCTGCAAAAAAGATTTCCCATATTCAAAATAAAACCGAAAACATACTAGCCTACCAATATAGCCACCCACGTCCCCAGAGACAGGGAGCAATGCGACGTAACTTGAAGTTCATTGTAATAACTATTTAAAATTATAAGGAAAAGTTAAGGACGTGGAATGTAAACTATAGCTCAGCTAGTAATGACTCCTTAACCGGTGACCTTTTCTGTGGATGATCCATCACCGTTGTTAGTTTATAAGAGATAGAGCCGGAAATATATTTCAGCTTACGATATTACGCTTATGCAACACTCAAAATGAGAGAAAGGAACAGCACAGGAAAGGTATGTGTACAAACCGTCTTATTTGTGCCACCAGATCCCTGAAGTTCCATTCCCAGGCGTACATTTTCACCACCCGGATTCCAGAAACAATCTCTTTCATCATCTCCAACCTTTTATCCGTCTGTGCTGCAACTTTCTTGCGAATTTTTCCGGACTTTTTAGCTGCAAGTGAATTATAGACAGAAACAAAGACCAGAAAAACAACGCCTATTAAAGCTTGCCAGGAGACTAAATACCATAAAAGCAACAAAGCGACGACAATGTCCAAAGCAACAAATAGGGCACCCTGGGCGTGATAGCCCAAGTCCCCAATTGCCTGGGCATCGTTGGAAGCGAGAGTGATGACGTTTTCGGAAATCTCATTTTCTAAGGTGCACCTTTTAAGCTCCAGAATCTGAAAAAGAGAGAGCATAAACTTTAATTCCTTACTTTAAGTATAACACGTGCAGTTAGTAATGTTGATGGGTTATGCATACAGCTATTTCGAGAAAGGTTGTCGGAAAAAAGTGCACGCGACAATCCCGAAAGGTAATATGGGATATGATCAATACGCTGTTTCTGACACTGTAGCTATCGAACCTACTTTTGCTGCTTCGCTTTAGCACTCGGAAACATAGTCCATGGCCTCTCGTACCATTCTTTCAAAATTTCTATGAAGAACAGTGATCTCAAAAACGACCCACAATACCTTTCGGGATTGTCGCGGGCACTTTTTCCGACAACCTTTTTCGAAATAGCTGTATATCGGAGAATTTTTCATGTCGATTCATTAATATACCACAGAACGCAAACTGACCCTTTTTGTGTGACGGGATACTCTGAAAAGATAAACGGGAATTCCCTAAAAGCTAAATTTTTAGAGCGTCGCCTCAGGTTATCGCAAAAGAAAGGTTTAGAATCCCTTAAAAACTTAAATTTCTATAACCGCTTAGAATGATCACATAACAACGAAGACAACAACCACCACGTATTTAAATTGTCCGTGATACGCTGTTATCTATTGTTATACGATGCAAATTGATTCTAAGAATCCCTTGGTAAAGGGTTATTTCATTTGTATCATGTAATCTTGCTAGGACAAAACTCTCCAAACCATACACCCCATACCATAACATAAAATCCTGGGGGTATTTGCCTTCAAAAATGACAGGGGTGCTCATCGCCTTTTGGAACCCCCTGAAAAGAATGTGGATTTAGCGAATTCATTTTGACCCAAATGAAAAAGTTGGAATCAGTTGAGTAACAAATAGTTCCCGTCCGGCTTTTTGGCTCGATACCTAGAAGACCCCTAAAAGGTATCAGGACATCTGCAACGGCGGTCAATTGAATTTGGTCAATCTAAAAGTTACCAATTCACAAATTCAGCCCCTTACAAGTCACACCAAGCACCCAATTATTTCTATAGGGGAGATCCTCCGGTCACAAAACTGCAGGAAAAAACAGCGTGGCATACACGCGCAGGGGCGGATCCAGAAATTTTCTTGGGGAAGTGGGGGTCCACCACTAAGGAATTGCGTAACTGACTGGTGACGTGACGTGCCAAACTACCACATTTACAGCGTTTTTAAAACAAGAAAAAAGGGAACCGTGTCTCATGTTGTACTTCAACATCAACAAACCACACATTTTCTTTTTGCAGAATACCAGTTGTATTAGAAAGCTGCAGGTCAATACCAGAAATAGTCCGAGTCACAAAGAGACCCTTTTCGCATGACGTCACGTCCTTCTTGTTGGTATCCCAAAACAGTAACACGGTGGCCATGTTGGCGGTCTTGGTGTCCCAAACCAGTCCCGTGGTTGTTCAAATCGTGTCTTACTTTAACGCTTTCTTTAATTCCAAAAAATTTACATTTATAGCCACTGGCCACGTGCGTGAAAACGCTCTATTGAAAGTCAGTTGAGTATTATTCTAATAATGCCCTCTCGCGATTTTTCGCTTTGGTATCGCAAGGAAAAATAAATAAACAAATAAATAAATAACTAAACCCTTATTAACTAAGCTTGTTCGCTCAAGATGGCTGGAAATTGGACATGTCCTTTTTTTGCGTTTCTTTTTGACATCGATCTCGTCTCTAAAAACGCAAAAAAAGAACTTAGGTTGTACCCGGCGGAGCCACCTGAAGCTTGATCAATAACGCGTACATAATTCCGTCAGAACATAGGGACCTATTCATAAGAGAGGTGTTCGATGTAATATTTTCTTGTCGGTATATTTAAGTCGTTACAATACCTTTTTATAAATCAGCCCGATCACTGCAACTTTTAATCTATAACCCATCATTTCAACCTTGAATGCTCCGTGGGTGATGAATAAAGACCGTGCCAACGAGATCACGGTTATGCTGAACATGAATGGCAAAGTGGAAGAGTAATTTGTCGTTCCGGCGCTTGTAGAAATGTTTTTCAAGAAGAACCAAAGAGCCAAGGGAAGAAGGTTCATTGAAAATGAGTAAAATATTCTCAATATCGCCACAACGATGTACTCCCTGAATGGAAAAATCTTGAACATGGCTCTCCAAAGACGAGGTTTTTTTCTGTTCTGTTCGGACGACCGCATTTCTGACAACCACTCTCTTTCTAGGGCATCCGCAAGTCCTTCTGCCTGAAAATGGGTTTCCAACGGGAAAAGGTGTTTCTCTTCCAAAGGATGCTTACTGCCATACTTAAGAATACTGCTCATCCAGGAGAAAGTTAACAGTGAAAAGAATCCTGCTTTCTCCATTGGATTTTCTGATGAAAAGTCTCCTGCAACTGGCTTGCTTTTAATTTTCACACTCGGATTCTGAACTGAAGCATCTTTTAAGAATGGCTCGCTTTCATTGTTCTCTCTGGGATTCTCGACAGAAATGTCCTTTTCCATGACTTGCTTATCACAAGGTAACAGCTATACTGAATGACATAGTAAATAGCCATTACTAACCATTTATTTAACACTTTGTAGTTTCATAAATCAAGGACAAAGGTATTGCCTAGTTTCAAACCGAAAGGGACTAGGTGCAAGTCCCTTTATTATGGGATAAACAACACAAGGCCCATATGGTCAGAAAGAGCACCTTACATTGAGCTTAGCAATATTCTCAAGTTTGGTGTTTACTGGGCCTATATTTAAGACCATTTAATGATACAGCCATTCAAAAACTCCAAAATTTACTAAGAAGTACATAGACACCCAGACGGTGTGTCCGGCAATCCATACATCTCTTATAAATTTTCAAGTTTTTTTTAAAAACTATTTAAAAATAGTTATCTTTTGTTTAATATTGGCCTGATCGACAACTGCCTTAAGATTTTTTCCTATTTCTTCCTAACTGTAATGGGCTCTTTCCGACTATGTGGGTCTCGTGTTGTTTATCCCACTCGTACCCAGCCCTCCTCGGTTTGAAACTGGGCAATGAGAATAATAATTCTACCTGGAGTTATGAAAACCGGGTTAGCAAACATTTTGTAATTTTTCTCAACTTCGCCTGTCTAATAGTTTGACGTATGTTTACTGTGTTGCAGTCATGTCGTTTTTTTTTATTATTTGCTTGTTTCCTGGTTAGGGATTTGTGTAGAAGTGCATGTAGACAGAATTACTATCTCACCCCCCTTCCCTCCTGATCTTTTTTCCCTACCCAGAATTCTTTCTTTAACACAAGTGACAGTTATTAGAAATCAGCGCGCGCCTCAAGCTGGTTTCGGTGGCGTTTAGCAGTTTTGTTTTATACATTGGTCACCTTGAGAAAAGTTTCCCGGAGAGCATCATGTAAAGCTCTGAGATGGGACAAAGTTATTACGATTCGCAGAGTCTGCATCGTCCAATATCGTATTATATTCTCGTTTCATTTGGCTAAACGGATCAATCACCCTGATCCGGGCTGAGACAGAAAGGTACGATATTGTTCGCTTTTCTAAGGGGACCACTAAGTCTTTGGCCTCGGGAACAGGCTCTTAGGAGTCAAATGAATTAGGTGAGAGCAAAATTGCCAGTGAACTTTGACCCAGGCTTTTTTTCTGGTGTGAAAACAAGGCTAAGGTGATCCGCCGACCGTGTGACTCTACATCCGGGAACTTGAATAAGACAAGTGTTAGAGAAAAGTTCAGAGGTGTTTATTTGCCAGTAGGCTGAGTTTTTCCGAGTTATTCGATGATATTTCGCTTATGTTGAACGTGAGAAGATTATGCGTGGTTGTGGATAGTCTTATCGGTACCGCGAAAGTGTGTGATTGTGTGATTTCCGCATGGTGTTGACAGGTATGTGATCGCGTGGTTGAACTGCGGTTTTGCCAAAATTTTCTGTGCCAGCTATTAATACTGTTTCGTCGGTGTTTCGCTTAGCTGATTGTACCTTGTAAAAGCAACTCTCGACTTAGGAAAACTGGATCTAGGTCTAGTTTCAGTGGGCTCTATTGGCATTGAACTATAGGCCGATTTTGGCAGATAAGAAGGTGATAATTTGTGCACTGTTTCATTCAGTTTGTTGTCTAGTCCATGCCAAATCCTGTTGTTTATCGGACCGCGAAGAAAGTTGTGTTTTGCTAGCTATTTGAGTTGTTATGTAAGCCTTAACTAGGCACTCTTTCGCTACAGTTCACTCAACTTAAAATTTTCTAGACTGAAATGACACCGGTTTGAAACTTCGCGAAGTCACATTACTGAATAAATGTTCTAAAATTTGCGTCATTTTAAATTTGGACTCGTTGGAATGCTTCTGGGGACCATTAACTTACTGCCTGGCGTCATATAAACGCTTTTAATGGCCTTTGAACGAGTTTTCTTGTTTTAAATTGCCAACTAGTAGAATTAGTGGATATTTTTGCTAACCCGGTTTTCAAAAATCCGGGTATAATTATATTCATAAAAATGATCATATGTGCATAACAAGCTACAAATTAAAACCTATTTACAATAAGCAAAACAATAAAAATATATACACTTCCGCCATAAAAATCTAAAATATCGATATGTAACAAATTAACTCATTCAACCATAAGCAAACTTAAGAAACAAGGGTAAAACAAAGGAAAGCAAAAGGCATCCAGGGGGGAGGAGATGGGTGAAGAGGGTCTTTGGACGTCCGAAGTGGGCTTATTACGCTTAATGGGACACAAATATGAAAGTAATTCATTATTTTTGCGAAGGGTCATTCGTTTAACGATCATCCGAACGAGCTTATCGCCAACGCCGGGTGAACTCACCTACTGAATCAATTATCTCGCTCAACCAAATGCAAGACACGTCGACAACACACGAGAATCAAATATACGCCACTGGCAAATTTGCCATTCCTTCCATTGGTGAGCGGATCGGTAGAGTCTCATAGAGATCATGTATTATGTTGAGAGCCAGTCACACTACAATCAGACTCTGTAACTGAAGTATCAGGCATATACCGGCGTAATATTAATACTAAGAGTGAGTTTTGATGGAAAGTTCAACTAGATTTAAACAAACGGGATAACGGGGACTAGCATTGAACAGGGGCACCCAACGTCAATCTTCGGAAAATATCTGTTTGGAAGACGATTTGAGATCTAGCCTTCGGAACATTTTTTGTAAAATTTCTTGCTTGCCTGCCTCTCCTAGGATTTTCAAAGATCTAACAAATGGTATAATTGCCCATTTATAACGGATTTTTACCCTATAAAAGTCACCTAGAATTTTCGGGAGTCTTTGTTCTGGCTGAAATTTTCGAAAAGGTAAGTTTTAATCCCCATAATTTTCGGATCACTAGACTCCGAACAGACGAAAATTTTTAGGGGATAAAAATATGCCTATATCTACCGTTTAAATACTAAAATACGTTTAACAATGCTATGTTTAAATTGGTTTTGAGTTATATTCTCGTTGGGTGCCCCTTATTGAAGCAAAGGTTATGGCTGTAATTCAAACTTACCTTTTGTTTCGACTCGCAGCTCCGTTTGGTGAACGTAGAATTTGGTAGGCTCGCTGAATGATCAATCGCGACAAACACACATCAACACCAAACTCAAAGGTCGTTTACGATCCTAGTTTCAAGTAAATCGAAAAGCTGAAGCGTTGTGTAGAGTCCTTCTAGTCTCATGCCTTTAACATGCTGAGTACTGCAAAAGCATAACACTAACATATGATCACCGTACTCGGACGAGCGGAGTCAGGAAACGGGTAAAATCAAAATGGACTGTGGATTGCGGTCTACGGACTACGGACTGGTTATAAAAAACTCTGACTGGGTACAGAATACAGTTTTAACAAAACTGGGCTAATTATTTGTAGATAAGGGAAAAACAAGATTAGACGTCCCGTTTCATGCTACCGGTAATCCACAAAGTTTTTACCTCATTTTTACTTTTCTAGAGCTACCTATTGCGTTTCTTAGCCCCTTTCCTCAGTCAGTCCGCAGTCCACAGTCTTCGTAATTTTAAGCTGAGCGTCTTCGGCGCAAAGGACGGCGGGAGGGTTAGGACGCCTGGCAGATTCGGTTTTGAAGATGGTGGCCCTTGTAACTTGCGGTTTCCGTAATTATATGGTTGGATAACTGCAACGTAACTACCGATGTTGCGTGTCCAGAGTATAAATACGTCTTTCTGTAAAATGAGCGGCGAGGTAGGTTTATTTTCTTTCCTTAAACTAGCCTTAAGGGATATTATGTTGACGATTAAAAGCTGACAGAAACACGCTGGAAAATCGGTATGGTCAGCTCAGTGCTGTCAGTGACAGCTGGGATATAAGAAAAGTAACTCTAACACATGCACCCATGGACAAAACTTACGCGCGGTAATTGCAAATGAATGCAGTTCTTTTGATGCTATCATCAGAGATGTTCGGAGGAATGGTCATGGGAAAATCGGAGGGTACTGCAATGTTGTTGATGATGATGATAAAAAGAATAAATAAATAAATAAATTAATAAATAAATTAATTAAAGATGAAAAACCAGAATGTTAAGAAATAAGAACTTAACAAAAACTATATACGGTATGTGCAAATAAGAATTTCGGGAGAACAATATTTTACAAATGTGTCCATAATGATATTAAATTAAGAACTGGAGAGGGAGCAGTTTGAGCAATTATTGTCTCCTAATAGCATATTAAGATCCAATTTTCTGATGTTATGCACATGCCATCGGCTTGCCCTGGAGGTAAACCTCCTGGCCAACCAGGGGGATTGTAAAATGGGTGGAGCAAAGTTGAGGATTTCCCCCAGGAGTGAGGGAATTTAATAAGACAAAGTCCCCTGGGTCAAGTGCTTCTCAACGAAAAATCCCCCTGATATCCACCTCATATAACTGGGATTCACTTGATGGAGGGGGTGTTTTTATCATATCTGGGGATGAAATTTTACTCATTCGTGTCAGGCTCGGAGAAGCATTATAATATCTTTATTGAACAAAAATCATTGCAATAAAAGACCACCTGAAGACAAATTCACTGAGGTTAGGAGAGACTGATAGTTCCTCCATGGACTACTTAAGATGACCTGAAATAATCTACCTCATGATTCTCAAAAATTGCAGTTATTCATTGTATTTCATTTACGTATGAATTTTTTAATTTTTATTAAGTCTGCCAGTCCTCAGCTTCTATGTTTGTCTTGAAATAAGAATGATCAGTGATAGGTGTAAGAGATCTGAAAATATATTGACCCGGTGGTTTTGCAATAAATGAATGGATGCATGATTGCCATTTTTAGGGGTCAGTTAAGTGATCGTATGCAAATTGCCAAGTTCTAGTTTGATTTTAACCGCTTTGTTGATTTTATGATTGTTGCGAGATTGGAGGAATTTTCGCCTGGACTAGAATGTCCTTGAGAGATTTTTCCTTCCTGTAGGAGACAATTGGTGGCTGGTTAAAGATATGTTTAAGCTTAGGTTGCTGTTGATTGATGGCCCAGTGGTTTATGAGAGTCTTTTTGAGTTTTGGTGTGGCCGGATTGTAGATTTGTAGGTAGTAACAAATGGTAAAGTCTCTTTTGTTTGTTTTGTTTTGTTGCAAAGAGCATTGTTTCTGTCAGTGAACTTAACTTCAGTCCATATTTCTTGAACAAGCACTACAGGGTAGCCTCATTCAAGGTCTTGGTTGCTTTGCTCAAAGTTTTCTCTCTCTGAGTTAGTTCTTAAAAGACGTAATGTTTCTCCTTTTATAAAACCTTTTTTTGCGTCAATCCCTGTGATATCCCTGTGGTTACTATCCACAATTTTACAAAATTTGCAATTCCCCCACCCCTTTGAACTAAAACAATGTTGTGAATTTTCCCCTACCCAGGGGCAGAGAATTTAATCTATTCCCCTGTATTCCCCGACATATTCCCTGGTTGGCCTAGGGGTCTACCCCCTGGACAAGCCAAAACTGATGTGCATTATATTTGAAAGTGCACAACATGGAAGTTTCTCAACATGTAGGGATGAAACTAGGGCATGTTCCCTTTGCCTTTTTTTATAGTGTGTAAAAAAACTGCAGTTTTGTGTGATTCTAATTTGAAATGGTATACTTCAAAAAGGTAACAGGCAGCAATGTTGTAATTAATTTTTGACATAATTATGGGTTCGTTTTAAGTCATTTTAAACTCCTTAAATAATTTTGCTATGAGGAGAACTTGGTTTTCCTAGGCTTTTCTGACCAATATTGAATGTGATTATTTGGGTTTTTCATAAGCAAATAATGCCCTAAAATATATATAAAAAAAGTATTGATGAAAGATTTTGACTATTGGAAAAGACATGGCATACATATATTATTAAAAAAGCAGAACAGCCATCATTCATCAAACCAAACTTTCACAGGACTTCACATGGGTGTATTTTGTTTATACAAATGTAAATGAAGCTTTTAAAGTTGTAACATATCCTCAATGCATACTCATTACCTCACCTATACCCACCAAGTGGGTGTGATTGTCACGCCTGCGGATCAAAAACTTTGTTCTCACACCTACTCACGCCTGTGTTCCAATAATTGGAACACACATTATTTCTCATGCCTTGTAGAAAAGTTTGAGCCATTACAGAGTTAACTGACACATTTTGAAAAATATATTAATTATAAAGAATCTGGAACCAATGAGAAAAAAGAAAAGTCCATGTGAATGATGGACTTTTTTCCAAATTCTCTCACTTTAGTAGGGAAAGTCAATGGACACGAGGTTGTGCTCCTTCGTGTTTCCTTGTTCGTGTACTGAACTCTTTGGAATGTCTCCGCAATGTCTTCAGACATTTTGTGGATATTATTGGACCCTACAAAAACTCTTGGCACTCTCAGGATTTAAATTTCATGCCTATAAATTAAAAAAAGTTGGCAGGTATACTCACTGCATAATATTAAGTTTACATGGGAAAAGTCCACAACTGCCAATGCAACAAGGATAAACACTGAAGTTGTCAACCACCACCAGGGGAGGTGGGGCGAATGTGGTCTCGGATCATGATAATTAAAAATGACCACGTTTCAGGTGGAGTGGTCAAATTTAAGGTCCAAGAAACTAAAAAATATCATAAATTTTATTTTCAAGGCAGTCAAGTGCTAAAGTAAGGAAGCACTTGCATCCACTTCTATCCTCAAAGACACAAAATACCAATCAATCAATCAATTAATCAAGCATTGATTTGCTTTTCCTTAAACTGACAATAGAAAATATATCAAATATTTAAAAATAATGGACAGGAGCTCTCAGCAAACCCTGTGGGGCTTTATGCGTATGGACTCTGGACGAGTTTACAGTAATAATAATGATATGTGTAGATCATGTATTAAACTAATGGTATGGAGCACACTATGAAATCATTTCTCGAATACTGCATTTTCCTGAATAAGTGCATGCCTTGGGGGATACAACTGTTGTTACTGTACCTACTTCCTTAATACTGACCGAAGTCAATTTTCACTTAACAATAGCAATAAATAATCAAAAGAAAAGGTGATAAGAATTAATGAAATAATTACCTAAGGGGAAATGCTTTGATCTTTTAACAAATTCTCCTAACTGATGTATGGAAATCAGTGTGGAAAATTTGTACATGGATACTGGTGCTTTAAGGGCTAATGAGGGAAATTCACAGCATTATCTGCAATCAAAAAATTACATCCAAGCAAACAAAATAAACAAGAAATGAGTTTGTTTTACTGTTTTCAGTTGCTATAGCCTGTAAACATGCTGTAGAAGAGCACAGTAGGGATACAGTAGCCTCACTGCTCCCCTTTCCTTTAGATTATAGCCTGTAAACATGCTGCCGAAGAGCATAATATGGATACAGGAACCTCACTCCTCCCCTTTCCTATAGACTATAACCTGTAAACACACTGCCAAAGAGCATAGTATGGATACAGGAGCCTCAATCCTTCCCTTTCCTATAGTTAATAGACTATATGCCTGCAAATATGCTGCCAAAGAGCATAGTGTGGACACAGGAGCGTTACTTCTCCCTTTCCTATAATAGACTATAGCCTGTAAACATGCTGCCGAAGAGCATAATATGGATACAGGAGCCTCACTTCTCCCCTTTCCTATAGACTGTAGCCTGTAAACGTGCTGCTGAAAGGCTTAGTGGGGATACAGGAGCCTCAATCCTCTGCTTTCCTATAGACTATAATATAGCGTTTTAACATGCTGCTGAAGAGCATAGTAGGGATACAGGAGCCTCATTGTATTTCAGGGCCTTACTTGCTTAATGTTGGTGACAAAGTTCCATACAGGGAAGAACTAAGGTAAGGTGACATAACCTATTCAACCACAGATTAATCAATCATTTATTTGCCTTTCCCTAGAATGATTTTAGAATTATATCAGAGATTCAATTATACTTGGCAGGTACCGTCAGCGAACCCTGTGGGACTTTGCGAGGAGGGACCCTGTACTAGTGGCTTTACTATGTAGATTATTGTATTTAGATAACTAATGGTTTGATGCACATAAAATCATTTCCAATACCACATTTACCTGAATTCCTGGGCTACTGCTTTTTTTACCTCCCTAACCAATATCCACATACAAATTCTCCAAACTGATCTCCATACATTTGAATTAGTTGAGAGAATTTGACAAAATATCAAAGATTTTTTTCTTTGTGATCATTTTATTAATTCTCATAGACTTTGCTCTTGACAATCTATGGATATCATTAGGAGAAAATTGATGTTGGTCAGTGGCACATCTAGGGGAGGGGCCTGGGCCTACCCCTTACTTTTAAACCAAGCTGAGGCCAAAGCGCCGAAAATTTTTTTTCCGAGGCTGGGCATTCCCATTATCTCAGGGTCTGGATGACAGGGCCTCCCCCTTATCTCAATGTCCGGATCTGCCACTGGTTGGTCACTATTGGGACTTAAGAAGGGTTAAGAAGGGAATACTGCAGTATCAGGAATCAGGAATTTGCACCAAACCAAAAATGAAAACGCAAGGGGTGAGTTGGGTTTACTGTTTTCAGTGACTATAGCCTGCAAACAGGCGCCGAAGAGATGTTAGGGATTCAGCGCGCTTAAAAAGGTTGGACAATAAAGTGAAAAAAAATTGGCGGGAATTGAGTGTTCCTAAGCCTAAATGTTGTAACTATCAACTGATTAAGGTTAACGTATTAAATATCATTTTGCATTTCTTTAAGGCTAACCGAATGCAAAGCGAAAAGTTTATATTCTTTCGGAAAAAGGTGTCAAAATTGTATGAGATTTTCTTTTATCTGATCAAGATTTGATTAAAAAGTACTTGAAATCCACTTGAAAGACTGCGGAAATGAGAACTTTAAGTAAGATGATAATAAATTCGATAGCCTCACTTTAGGGCAGAGCTATACTGCTCGTTTTTTAAGGTTTCCAAAGAGGACAGTACTTTCGAGATGATCGTCATAAGTTTTGGCATGCTCATTTAGCCGTTGCCATGTTGTGATTCTGAACAAGGCGAGAAAAATATCCATCGCTGTTCTGAAGCAAAGTGTCAGGTTTATCAAACTCCACCATCCGTCCCTGATGCATAACTAATACTTTATCATAGTCCATGATGGTGTTCAAGCGATGGGCAATGGTTATTACGGTAGAATCTTTAAGTCTGTTACGTACAACTTCTTGAATCAGACGGTCTGTTTTGTAATCCACATTGGCAGTGGCTTCGTCCAGTATTATAATCTTGCTTTTCTGCAACAGTGCACGTGCCAAGCAGACCAGTTGGCGCTCGCCCACACTGAAGTTGCTCCCAGACTCCCTTAACTTGTACTCTAGCTGCTCAGGTAATTTCTGAACTAGAGTATTTAACTGTACTTCTTCCAAAGCACTCCAGAGATCGTGATCCTTGTACAAAGAGAACGGATCTAGGTTTCTTCTGAGGCTTCCGCTGAAGAGGACAGGATCCTGAGTTATTACGGCCATAGACCTTCGAGCCGCCTGTAGATTGAGATCTCTGATGTTTACACCATCTATGATCACCTGTATTAACACAAACATTCACCTGAGTTGGAACTGAGGGTGTTGCTTACAAAGCGACGTCAAAATAACCACGATTTCAATGCGTTTAAGGGATGCCAAACAAACGTCTCGCACAGCCGGATTTACTTTAATTTGAATTATCAGTAAACAAATTAAATTTTCTGCAATGTCAAGGCATCCAGTACGTTTATGATGACTTCGGATGCGACAGGCCATTGAAAGAAATGGACAAAGTAGAAATTGCTTTAAATCCAGGCTACCGATGGGCGATCCAGTTGGCAATTTCCATTACGTCGAAAAGCGTCTGAAATAAGGAATTACAGTAACAAGGGGAGGGGAGGGGGGAGGGGTGGCCTCGAACAGAAACCCAAAAGTAACCCCTTCAAGATGTCGAAATGGTCTCATATATAATGTCTCCAAGGAAGAGAGAAAAAAAAAACAGCCCTCCGTACAGTAATAACAATACAGCAATGGTATATTACAATGGAAAATAGAAATAATTTGACTCGTCCAAAGTATTCTCCTTCTTGCCGTGCAAGTCTCTCGCGACCGATCGCGAGCGCGCACAAATCAGAAGACAGGGAACTAATAACAAAAATTATCATTCTTACGTTGCCTTCAGGCTCTGGCATTCGAAACAAAGCAGCCACCAAAGACGATTTTCCAGCTCCCGTGCGACCTACCACACCAACTTTCTCCTTAGCAGCGACGCTAACGTTTATGTCGTCCAAAATTCTCGGAGCCCCTTTTAAGTATGCTAATGACAGGTCACGTAATGTCAAGGAGCCTGTTTTCGGCCAGTCTTCAGGAGGCTGGGTGTCCGTAAGGTACCCAGGCTCTGGATCGATTTTAGTGTAGGTGAACACTCTTTCCACTGAGGTCATGAGATTTTCTGTCTCTGATGCGACTAGGATTCCGTATTGCGAGGTTCCGAGAGTGTCCAATGCATATGTCAGGGACATGCCTGCCAGCGCTGCAACCAAGGTATTGACAGTTAGTTTTGAAGGCTGCACATTGAAAGGTCATAGAAAATCACATGGCAAAGACCTTGGGAGCAAGGGATGGCGCAATGTTGAGAGCGCTCGCCTCCCACCAATGTGGCCTGGGTTCAAATCCCGGCATCGAGCCATATGTGGGTTGAGTTTGTTGTTGGTTCTCTCCTTTGCTCCGAGAGGTTTTTCTCCGGGTACTCCGGTTTTCCCCTCTCATCAAAAAACAACAGTTCCAAATTCCAATTCGGCCAGGAATCAGGTAAACGAAGATCCACTTTGTGGATGTGCTACCTCTAAATCATTATCTATTTATTTATTTATTTGATTTATTTATTTACGTATTGAATGTGCCATCACAAGTTTTATTCATTTCCCTAAGCTGATTGAATGTGTGTGATTGGTTGTTTTCACTTAACCTCAAAAATTCCTACACAAAGGAAAATCTCCTGAAAATCGTGCTATATTCTGAAAGAGAGTTTCCCCTTGAAACGTTTGCTATATATTGCAATTTACGTTCACTGTTGATATGCATGTTCAGTTTCTCATCTTAGTAGGTTGCAGAACTATAACTATCAGCTGGATGGTAAAATGTAATTGTTATAATACCGTCATGAGCCTGCAGAGCGCTTGGTGCGCTTCACACTTCATTACAAACTTTCTGAAATAGACTCATACTCAAGAATGAGGTAGAATAGCCCTCGGCAGAGTGGAAGCAATTTAGAAGGTGTGTGTTGGGAGTGGTTTGGTATAGAAAACAACTTCTTTTTCCTACTTCCGCTCCACCTCCCTTGAGGAGAGGCAAAACAGTTCATAAAAACGCCACTCACCTCGGCTTTGCGTGGCAAATAGAGCTCCAGCTGATACAGAAGTCACAAGAAAATTACTTAGTAGCTCTCCTCGTAAAGCAAGCCAGTTTCCCGCTGCGCTTCTCATTATCATAGCTGATGTGTTTTTGTCTTGATATCTGTAAAATAAGTTATAGTAATATGGTCTGTACTGATTTGATTACACAAATAATGACGAGAGTTCTTCCTTCGCCACCCAACAAATCCCATTTACTCAAAGATTATTTACCTGTTTCTGAATACACTGTACGTAATAGTATTATAAAAATGATCGCCTAGAGTCCACAAATACAAACACCAGGTTAAGGAGGCACTTCGTACATATTAAAAAAGTAAGACCAGCTTTGAAAAGCGATGAGGCCCAGAGCTACACTTGTTCACGGTGCTATAGAATCACGTGACCAGTGAATTTGATAGCTAGACTGAGGAGAACGTTGGGAAAACGTCGAAATCTCTTGCCCCGCAATACTCTTTGCTCTGAGCCCATATTTTTAGTCATATTTTTAGTCATTATGTTTTTGACTTCTTTGAAATTGAACATGTTGGATTAGGTTGGTATTTTTAGGTATTTTTATTTATTTGCCACACAATTACATTACTTAAAGATGCCAAAAGAAAAAAAAAAAAAAGTAGGAAGAGAAGGCGAGGAGGCCTAAAAGAAACTATAGAGCGGGACCAACCGTAAAAATTCGGGAAGATGAAAAATTTTATTACGGGGTTTACATGTACAAATGTTGAACGTTTTCATTTCTACGTCTTTGAAATCACGTTTCTTGTATTATACCCTGCATGAATAAGCCTAGTTGTATTAAGTATATATCATGAAATTTTAAGAACATGTTGGAGTGGTTTTGCTGGGTTTTAATTAGAGGCCCAAACTAACAGTGTTGAACCCGTGGATAAATAGAAACTGGATTTTGATGATCTCATTTAGAAACTTTATTGGCGACATGTGAGATTTCAGATTTCCAATTTAAATTTTCGTCCATGATTCCAGGAAAACTGTTTCGATCAATCTATTAATTAAAAGTTGAATAGTTTATCGCAATGAATTTGAGTTTAATGAAACAACTTATTTAGTTCGGCTCGTCACATGGTTTACGTTTGAAAATATTGTTGACGTGTTGATTATAGCGGTTTGAACCTTGGGGAAAACATTTTTGATAAGAAACATAACCATTGTATTCTACAAATTGAAGTCTGTTGCGTGACAAAATGACAAATAATCGTGAATCTCGATCGGCTAATCTGTTCCACAATTCCGTCTGGTTTTTCCTGAAGCCGAACTGGTTATCACAGAGAATATGTAAATTAGTTAAATAATCATAAAACAATTAAAAGTCATGCATCTCGATCGGTTCGTCATTGCTGCGACAGCGGTTTACTGATTCTTTGACAAAATGACAAAAACAATTTCTAATCTTTCCACATTCCTCTGCTCTTAAAGCAATTAAAAAGCACCTCGTGTTCTTTGAAACAATTTCTTTCAAACCCTCGTGTTCTAACCAAAAATGATGAAGAGAATAAGACAAACGCTTGAAAAAAGGATCGTCGTTTCGAAACGAATTTGCTCTTTACTTAGGTTATATTCTGCCTGGTATAAAACTACCCATAAACGGTTGGAAAGAAACACAAAGGTAACTACTAACTTGTAAAATTTTTGGAGGAATTCACTTCCCATCCCTGACGAGCGAATTACTTCGAGTCCTGTTGCGGTATCAGCAATAAGAGAGTAAACTGGACTGCATGTTATTGCTTCAAGCCTCCTGATCTCCCGAGAGGAATTCAAGTAGTATTTTGCAAGATAAATGAACAGCAGGGTTAACGGAGCACAAGTAATAAACAACCAGGCATTTACGACAGCTGAAAGAATTGTGGCACTAAAGAAATATAGCCATAACTGAACTGCCAAGAGAAACTGAGGTGGCAGAAAGTCATCCATACCGCCAATGTCTTTAGAAAAACGATTTAAGATGCGACCAACTGGATTTGTGTCAAAGAATAGGACGGGTGCCTGAATAACTGCTTTGGTCATCTCGTCGTGAAGGTTTTCTGAAGCCTTTAAAGCGGCAAGATAGAAGCAAAAGGAGGATACAACTGTAAGAAGCAAGGACATCGTGACGATGGATCCATATATCAGTAGTGTGACGTAGTTCTTCTGTTCTTGTTGTGACATCTTTGTCATTGATGAAATCCACCAATAGGGCGCGATCCACGCAACTACAAGAAAACATCTCATGCAGTCAGTCTCGAATATCTGTATTTAGTCATTTTGTTACATTCTGATGAGAACTAAAGATGCACGAATACTTTTGCCTCACAGCTGGTGAAGTACAGTCAAACATTTCCTTGAACTCATTTGTCTCTGAACTGAAAAAATCAATTGCTATTTAGCCTGATCTAGTCGGTAAATGTCCTTGTTTGAAAAATAATTTAATGTGCAAGAGTGAGCCCTCGAAGTCTAAGTTGAATCTTAATCGAATTTACTAACCTTGGACAATCGCGAAAAACAGAACGAGGGCAACAATGAAAGTAACTGGAAGGGCAGCCCTAAAGTATTTCCAATACAACTGCCACTTGACAGTTCCTACCATCCTGTCTTCTTTCTCTTCTGCAAGATCTAGTCTTTCCTGATATTCATCGACGGAACTTGCTTTCCTGGCCCTTTTGTCCTCACCGAGACCTGTAATTGTACTATTTTTGCCTTCTTCTTGTTTTCCTTGAGGTACAATAAAATCATTCCCTAGCTTCTTCTGGTCCATTTGAGAGTAGCCACCTTGGTACTCAACGGAACCATTTTGAAGGATAACAACGTTGTCTGCATGTTGAAGGAACTGTAGGTGATGAGTGACCAGAATACGAACTCGCCCAGCTAAGAACTCTTTGATGCACCTGTCAAACAAGTGTTTGCCGACTTTGGCATCCACTGCACTGAGTGGATCATCAAGTAAAAAGATGTCCGCGTCCGAGTAAAGTGCGCGTGCCAGACTCACTCGTGCACGCTGACCACCACTCAGGATTACTCCCCGCTGTCCAATCTCAGTTAGATCACCTTTCGGGAAGCTTGATAGATCTTTTGCCAGGTCACAGACCTCCACAATTTTGAAGTACTTTTCTTCCATGAACGGTATACCAAAGACTATATTCTCTCTCACGGTGCCAGAATACACCCAAGGTGTCTGGGAGACGTAAGCCATTTTGCCAAAGCAAGAGCTCTGACCAGATGATATTGGAAGTTCTCCTAAGATGGTCATCAATAAAGACGTTTTGCCACTCCCAACTGGTCCAGTTATTCCCACAAGTTGCCCACTGGTAGCTTGCAGTGAAACGTTTTGTAATGCTAAGCGATGTGATGAGTCGTTCCAAAAGCTTGAAACGTCTTCAAGAACAACCTGTGGCTGAAAGAGTTCCGATGTTTCGTCCGGTTTAGGTGCACTACTATGGACAGATTTTGCGGGTCTTAAGGTCACCAAACTGAAGAACTGTGAATTGTTTTTTCCGTCTTTGTCGTATCTTTCTAAGTGATTGGGTGCCAATGCGGACTTCCTTGAGATAAACCTCTGTATTCTATTGCATGCAGTTCTTGCGAGTGCAAGACGATGTAAACCTTCCCCAATATTAACAGTTACGAAGAATTTAATGTTAGTTAAGACAGAAAGCAACGTGAACACTTGGAATGTTGACAAGGAGTGTCCCGTGAGAAGCAGTGCCAAGATTGAGATGAACCCAGTAACAGTATGGCTTGTAAAGAACAGGGCGTGGATACTTGACAGGAGAAATCCTCGGATCCGAATGAGAGAAATCTCTTTCCTGCAAAATATTTTCTATACTTAAAACAAAGCCAACAAAATCCATGACAAGATTTTTTTTGTGCCTTTCTTTTACTGCAAAGAAGTAAGGAATTGGAACTTAAAATATAAACCTATGATCCTGGTACAGCTAGGCTGTACTGTCTTGTTGATCGCACGATACTTAGAAGAAAACTGGAGAAATTCATCAGGGTTGCTAGTTAAAGTTATAGGAGATGGATATAGCCTTGAGCCTGCAACCAGTTTGTCCTTTATGCATGAAAAGAAAGAAAAAAAAAAAAGACAACAATAAAAGGACAGGAAATGTATATGAACAAACCGTCTTATTTGTGCTACCAGATCCCTGAAGTTCCTCTCCCAAGCGTACATTTTCACCACACGGATTCCAGAAACAATCTCTTTCATTATCTCCAGTCTCTTATCCGTCTGTGCCGCAACTTTTTTGCGAATCCTCCCGGACTTAGATGCTGCAAGTGATCCATAAACAGAAACAAGAACGAGGAAACCAACTCCCACTAAGGCTTGCCATGCGACTAAATACCACAGAAAGAACAAAGCGACGACAATGTCCACGGCAACAAACAGGAAACCTTGAGCTTCATACCCCACATCCCCAATAAGCACGGCATCGTTGGAAACGAGATTGATAGTGTTTTCAGAAATGTTGTTTTCTAAGGCACATCTATTAAGTGAAAGAATCTAAAAAAAGACAGAAACAAAATTGCTTTGATTTACAATGTATATAATTCTGTACTTATTGATGAGAAAGATTTTATGCGTAATTCAGGGGTTTCCAATAAGCTCAGATACGACTACTTTTAGGCCACACTTATCTAGCATATTGACTTTCCCTTGTGCTCAAAGTAGTTTAAGGCCTGGGACTAAGAGGTTTACATGTGGAAAATGATTTACTGGCTTTAACTTCGGCATGGTTTATGGCGCTGAATCAAAATATTGTGTTAATAAGTCACGTGATATGTCACTTGACCATGTTGCAAAAAATCGTAAATTACTGACCAATTGGCGGCCGGTTTAAGAAAGGAAATCGAGCAATAACGTTCCTCTGCTTCATATCAAATATTTCTAACACGTTTGGAATGACCGTCCATTGTACATCAATAAGAAATTATTAGGGAAAACATAATTCTAAATGCCCAAATTTTATCTTGAATTATTTAAAACTTTTATTCTAACTTCGCGTACATTCATTCCTTTAGTTAGAGATATTGCCAATCATTCATATGCTCCGAACACACCTTTGATCCAGGCCTTAAATCCCTTGAGGCATATTACTTTTCTTGATCCATGAGACAGGTTTACCTCCAATTTTTATAAACTGACCTCTTTTATCCAAATCGTCCGACCAACTGGCGGAAAATGAAACTTATCGTTTCGCTAACCTGGGTAGCAGGCGTATAATGGGAGGGGAGAAGGACAGAAAACGTAAAGGCCCCATGTCGTTTTGCCTTTCGAGTTTTTGATCTTGCCACGCAGGATAGTCATCGTTAAAGTAAGGCACATACACATATCGATTATTTTCATTGGTCATTCCCTCTCTCCCTCCCCTCCCATGTAGATAGATAGCTACAGGAGAATGTCAGTTAAAACTTAAGACCCTCTGCAGTTTAAATGTATGTTCTTAGTCGCGGATTTTTACTGTATTAGCTACTCAGCCCATCAAAGATTGTCTACACCATCGAGTTGACTGTATTATTTGAAATTCTGTATTAGAAACTGTTTGTGAGAGAGGTATCCGTGGTAATTGGTGTACCCTAAGATAAAGTCATTGCAATACCTTTTTATAAACCAGCCCAATCACTGCAACTTTTAATTTATAAGCCATCATTTCGACCTTGAATGCACCGTGGTTAATGAACATAGCGCGTGCAAGCGAGATCACGGTTATGCAAAACATAAAGGGCAAAGTGGAAGTGTAATTTGTGGTTCCGGAGCTTGAAGAAATGTTTTTCAAGAAGAACCAAAGTGCCAGAGGGAGAAGGTTCATTGCAAAAGAAAACAAAATTCTCAACATCGCCACAACAATGTACTCCCTGCACAAAAAAATTCTCAACATAGCTCTCCAAAGGCGAGGCTTTTTTCCGTTCTGTTCAGCTGTCCGGTCTTCTGCGAGCCACTCCCTTTCTAAAGCTTCAACCAGCTGCTCTGCCCGAAAAGTTGGTTCAAGTGGAAAAATGTGTTTCTCCTCTAGAGGCTGCTGATTTCCCAGTTTTAAAACATTGCTCATCCAGGAAAAAGTTAACAGAGAAATACACCCCGCTGTCTCTCTCGGATTCTTTGAATCTCCCATGGCTAGCTCGCTCTTAGAGGTTGATATCTGGGATCTTGGACTGGAGTAGCGACCAGGATTGGCTCACTTTAGATTCTTCTATGAGTTGCTGACGGTAGTTTATAACTCCTTTGGCACCTTGATTGAAAAGTAATAATAATAATAAAACAGAAACGATACCAAAAGTCAGTCAGTCAGTCAGTCAGTCAGTCAGTCAGTCAATCAATCAATCAATCAATCAATCAATCAATCAATCAATCAATCCGCCAATCAATCAATCAATCAATCAATCACGTAAAGCTTTATTTCTATGCAGAAGTCATATCAACAGGGCCGGTCCTGACACTATTACCTTGTGAAAAAAGGAATAAAACAAAGTACGCAATACTAGTTAACATCTATCCACAACATCTTCAATACTTGATTTAACCTACCCGCTTATTTATCTTGCAATGTCAAAACTCAGTGACAACACAAAAATTTCTTTTGTTTAACATCACTTCGTTTAGTCTAAGAAGACGATCGCGTATCGTTTTAGTTGACCTTTTTAGCAGTATTGTTCATTGAGTTAATCAGTAAACAACAAACTAGTCAAAATTTCTTTTAAGGTATTGAGCGGATGTTACTAAAACGGGGAACGGGGAGCGGGGAGCGGGGAGCGGGGAACGGGGAACGGAAGTCTGGGAACGAGTTGTCAGCGGAAACCTCCATAAAAATCCAAAATGGCCGGTAAGGATCAAGAACCCGGTAAGATCGATGATAGAGAAGCGTCGAAACAACACTTAAGGTCGCTATTTTACTAATGAACTATATGCTCATGAGGTGCTTGAAATAATACGGAGGTAATAACGTCATGACATTTTTCACCTTTTTGCGTTTTACTAAACAACAACATATGCTCCAACAGCAGTTGAAAGAAGCTACAGTCGGGACAAAAACTCTCAAAGCACAGCCATATTTGGAACTCAAGCGAATCTATACCGGGTCTAACTCACAAAGCAATGAACTACTTTTGCTTGACGCTTTTCGTAGGGTTTTGGCTTAAATACATGCTGAAAGATAACGTAGATCGAAGCAGCCAGGTGTATTTCCTCGACAGTAAGTGTAGCAGTTGAGCTCCTTCCTAGCTGTAGCGTTTTTTCAAGCCCAAATTAAAACATGTTGGCGATGAGATAAAACTGTAAGTCTAATAATATTATATTTACAAACCTATGATGAGAAGTAAGTGCAATTGTATTATTTGAAAAGATAAGATGGATCAGGTTATTTAATACATCAATAAAAGGCAACTTTAAACATATTAACGGGCAATGTGCCAGGAACATCAATCATACCTTGGTCTTAAAGATGTGAGTTGTTTCAAAGCAAATGGCTATGCTGTGGTTTTATTTTATTATATCCTAGGTGTAAATTTTGCTTCCCTTTGTTTGGGGGTACGGTAATATGAATTTTATGATTTATGAGTTCAAAACAAAGAGAATAAAATTCATACTTAGGATAAAAGTGAACCACAACTGAGCTGCAATATTAAGTATTGCAAGTATACGTGGGGGAAGTACTTTAAAGTCTTTGGTTGGAAGGTACTTTCTAAAGGCTAGCTGTTAAAATATGCATGGTAAGTATACTTCCTCTGTTTAGCCCTCTGGATGCTTTTTTTTTTTTCTAGGGGGACTCCTTAAATGTTTTTGCAGAGGGGAGCTCTGCTTCTCTTTAATGAACATTATTTTTACTGTGGAGAAAAATATTTCAAGCTCAGTGTAAAACTGAATGTATCAGTGACTTAAACCAGTTAATTATATTGTCAAGCTGCTTTATTAGCTTGATTCAGTAATATTGCAGTGCACTTACCATCAAGCATCACATTATCAATGTTGCAGAGGTTGGCAGCTTATTATAAGGTGGTTGATAAGCCTTCAAGCAAGCTGTCTGTAGTTTTGGAAATAAAGAGTCTAAGGTCTCACATAAGTGATGGGAGGCAAAAGATTGGAGTGCCGATATGTTTTTCAGTAAACACGCGCAACTGTATGTGTATAGTGGCGACATTACGCTTACTCAGTGCATGTAAAATAACACAATAGATCTTGCTACCCATTTTCCCTGATTTTATTTCCCCTCCAGGGGACATAATTTCTTTTAACATATCGGGGTTTTCAAAAAGGGGCAAGAAGCTTTTTAAATGAATTTTAATTCATTTAATGAAGCACAGTATCAAAGAAATTAAAGAGAAGAATCAGACTAGAGTAACAGTAACCCAGAGGGGGGGGGGGTACTCACCAAAGAGGCTCTGCCCCAGGGACCAACCCTTTACCCTTTGTATGTACCATTTTAGACAGAAAAGGTACCCCTTTTGTGTACCCTCTAGTGACAAATGGTACCCCTTTCACATACCTAATTTTGAACTCTGCATCCCTTTTTAACTGCTGTAAATACACCATCTTTACAATATGAATAAATAGCTAAAACAGGTTTTCTTGTCTCTCACATCCATAAAATGCATCTGTGACTGATCTCATTTTGGTCCCTTTCATATACTTCAACTATAAAAACCCCTTCCCTTTCATGTACCTGAAGCCTGAAAAAGGCTTCAGGCTCTATTTAGGCCATTATAGTACCCCTGTCACAGCGTTTTGGGCATCCCCGCGTTTTGGGCATCCCCATTCCCATATCCCTAGCGTTTTGGGCATCCCCGGTGGGGGATGCTCAAAACGCTGATCACTTCGACTTTGCCTAAATTATTTCAGACTGGGGAAAAGTCGGGATTGTTAATCACGAATTTACGGCTAAATAGTGTTGATGCATGTTAGAATTATATCGTCCGACACTTTTTGCCGGGTTAATTGCGCAGAAAAAAACCCATAGGCAGTAAACGTTGGCTCAAAACATGACGAAACTGAAATTTACAACCGCATAACATGGCTTCGAGGCACAACACTTTATTGTTTGCAAAGCTTTCAATTTTATTTAATAGAACTGTTTACAAGCGAGTAATGCCGCAATCGCCGGCAGCTGCGATCGTCTGCTTCCAAACAGCCAAAAACAAGAACACTAAACAAAGGAATCAAAAGGTAAACATGAATAAAACTGCGTTTTGCGGTGTTGCATTATTCATGACATTTGAGGCCTGTACAACTTAACCCCGCAGCGCTACTTGATACAGGAAAGGCTGTCACACAATTACAGAGGCCTCAAATCATCAGAAATAACCGGAGGTGGGGTGACAATTCCCCCCCAAAAAAACCTGCAGTGCAAGGGAAAGGCATGTCTAGAAAAAAATCCTGTAGTTATGTAGTTATGATAAATGGACGCTCCAATGATGGTCACTAGAAGATATGTTGTGCTCGGCGCACGGGCGTGACAGCCGGCGTGACATAAATGGATGTTCAACGCCACACTTTATAGGTCAACTGACAGAAAATCTGTCATCTCGGCCCTTCAGAAATATAACTTCTGATCTTTGGCTTCACATAAAATAATAACAAACGGGATCTATAAGAAGGACTCCGGTTTACAATGCCCTTTGACAACCTACCAAAAGATGCAATTATGCCTCACCCTTTCAAAGAACACTGACAACAGAAGAAATTTAGCGAATGTTTTCGATTATCAACGCGGGTGTTTTAAAAACACGATCAATTGGCAAATAAATAACATTTGTAACTACACTGTAACCATTTCTATCGTGTCCTTGTAGTAGTCAGGCCAGTAAAACCGCTCTTTGATTTTCCTCGGAGTGTTATCGCGGCAGGCGTGTCCAGAAAAAGGAGCAGAGTGGCACTCTTCGAAGACCCTCGCTTTATCTTCCTCGGCGATAACAAGACGTCGAAGCGCTGTGCCATCCTTCTCCTTGGCCACGAGAACAAGGACTCTAATTTTGAGTCATACTCAAACTTTTTGGCTTAATTTTCTAAGAATTGTTTTGTCCTGCTTTGTAAAGCCTTCCGGATAAACCTTATTTTTAAGACACCGGAACAGATTTGTATATTTAGCGGAATCCATCTCTAAAAGGTTTTCGATTTTCCCGCGAAATCCCAAATTGTTTTGGAGGGGATGCCCAAAACGCTAGGGATTTGGGCATCCCGGGAGGGTACCGGGGGATGCCCAAAACGCTGCAGTAATATGAGAAGGGGATACCCAAAACGCTAGGGATATGGGAATGGGGATGCCCAAAACGCGGGGATGCCCAAAACGCTGTGACACCCCCTCCTCCTGCACCGAGAACAGTAATTGATACAGCGATATTGTATGGTATGAATTGCACCAAACGTTTCGTGCCCATGAAGAGGTACTTTGATTATTTTACGACATTTTTCTTCAAAAGGGAGGGGTTTGGGATCTCGTTCTTAAGGGGGCGGGGGGTTAATTGAGGATCTGCAGTGAGTGAGAATGTTGCATTCAATGCAATCCAATGGTTTTGATTCAGGAAAGGGTCGTCAGGGGTATTTCGCAGAAAGACAAATGGCCACTGTACGACTTTGAAGCAGTTACTGATTACGGTGAGGAAAATGAGTGAATTAGGTTCCATTAGGGTCATTATACTGGTCTATACTGGGCAAACTGACCTGAAACAAATTGTTTTACAAAATAATAAAATGATATTATTTTATTTTCATGGATCAGTGAAACACTTCAATATCGTGAATGCTTGCAGTGTAGTGGATCTAATAATATTAAAAGCAGAACCAGATTGTTAAAGTAGTCTTACTAATTATGTGATGACGTGGTCAATAACATTTTTCAAAGCAGTCATCTCTATCAAAGAAAATAGAAGAAGTCTGCACACAAGCTACTTGCCTACTTCGATGTATGTTATCTATCATGGAAAAGTAGTTCATTGCTTTGTGGGCTAGACTCAGTATAGATTCGCTTGAGTTCCAAATATGGCTGTACATGTGCTTTGAGACTTTTTGTCCCGATTGGCTTCTTTCAACTGCTGTTGGAGCATATTTTGTTTCCTACGGATAAATGTTTAGTAAAACGCAAAAAGGTGAAAAACGTCATGAACTTATTACCTCCGTATTATT